GCAGAGTTTCAGGTATTGAAGCTTAAAAAAATAAAATGTATTCAGATGGTTCAGCGGGTAAAAAAACCCAAAACACAGCTCGAGCTGGGTGCCCCCAGAGAGGGACCCCAAACAAAGGAATCCCGGAGCAATGACACCCTTTACAATCTAAGTTCCCTTTTGTGTGACAGTCAGCCCAATGATGTCATTTAAGTCCTTATTTGTCACTAGTTCTCCTCCTAGTTCGTGGATGGGCCGTTTTCTTTATCACTGAGGGCGAGGCTGCTGCTGACGGTTGTATCTTCCTTATCTCCTGGTTAGCTCCAGTTCCGGGGCTCCCCTCTACTTAACCGGGTAAAACTTCAACAAACCCAGGTGGAATTTCACAGCTCGCGGTCTAAGGCTGTAGCAATTAACTCTGATCAGTTTTCTTTAAGCTGGAAGGACTGATCCCCTCCAGCAGCCGGGAAGCAGGAAGCGTGTGCCGGATGTGCGGCTGCCGTGCAAAAGCGAAACCCTGCCTGCACGCGGGACGGGGATTCCAGGCAGCGCCGGTAAAACTTCAACAAACCCAGGTGGAATTTCACAGCTCGCGGTCTAAGGCTGTAGCAATTAACTCTGATCAGTTTTCTTTAAGCTGGAAGGACTGATCCCCTCCAGCAGCCGGGAAGCAGGAAGCGTGTGCCGGATGTGCGGCTGCCGTGCAAAAGCGAAACCCTGCCTGCACGCGGGACGGGGATTCCAGGCAGCGCCGGAGCAATTCCGGCAGGACCCGCCACGCCGTGAGTGCACGGCGACACGGCCATGGGGTGGGGGGCTGTCGGGACCGGGCTGCGGGGGGATTCTGCCCTGAGGAGCTGCAGCTCCCACTCTGGTTAGAAGCCCCCCATGATGATTTTTCGGGTGCTTTTCTCTCTCCTGTGCCCCATCCCAGGGGGTGACATCCCCACGGTGACTTTACCATGCTGTGGTGACCATCCCCAGCTGTTCCAGTGCAGGAAGAACCGGGCTGTATGGGACAAACTCGGTGCCCAGCTGTAAAATCTCTTGCCACGGTGTAGCCGTGATTTCTAACCATCGGTGTTTTTAGGTAACATCCCGCGATGGCAGGGGAAGAGTCTGCGTTAGCCGTCCTCTTACGAGCACTGCAAGGTCTAGCACCTAAAGACTTCCAGGAGTTTAAGACAAAGTTATCAGAGGTCCATGTGGAAGGAGGATGGAGTATCCCAAAGGATTTGCTGGCAGAGGCCACCCAGCCTCGTGCGCTCGCCAGCTGCATGGGCAAGAGCTGCAGCGAAGACGCCGCCATGGACGTAGCGATTGGGTTGTTTGAAGAGATGAACCTGTCAGACCTCGCTGAGAAACTGCTGGAGAAGAAGGTGGAAGGTAGGACACCAGCGTACATTTTGCTTTTCTTTGTCTTTTTTTTTTTTCACTTGAGTGATCCTGGAGGTGGGCAAGAGTTGGTAAGAAAAGGTTTCAGCTTCCCAGGGAGCCTGGAAACACCGAGATGTCCTGCTGGGATCCTCTTAGTGTGGGGCTGTAGTGACCTCTCACCTTGCTGTCCCCACTTACTGCTGGGCTCCCACTTCTCCTGGAGAAGAGCCTTCAGCTCTTGGCACCACCGGGTAGATCCTTTCCTCCTGGGGTGGGGATGAAGGACATCTCTGCAGAGCTCTTCCCGGGACAACGCCTTTGGCCACAGGGGCACAAGTGGAGTGGGACGGAGGCTGCTGGTGGCCCAGACAATTGCGTTTGCTCCCCGGGCAGATGAGGAGTGCAGGGGGCTTACATCACAGGTTGATGGGTCAGGATGATGGGGGGACCCGGGAGAGGAGAAGGACCCTCCAAACGGACCAGAGACTCTCAGTTCTCACAGGCGATGTCCTTATTGCCTTTGCCAGACTTAGGAAAGCCCTGAGCATTGAAACAAGTGTCCCATTGGTGTGTCGGGATCACGGTTGGGCTGGTTGGGAGCTCCTCGGGAGCCTGTCTGGGCTCAGGACTGACCCTGCTTCTCGCCGTCACAGAGTACAAGCAGAAATACCGAGAGCACGTGGTCCAGGAGTTCCTCCGGTACAAAGAAGTGAACTCCTGTCTCGGGGAGAACCTGTCCGTCAGCAGTCGCTACACTGACCTGACCATCACCAGGAAGGCTCGGAGCAAGCGCCAAGGGGGATGTGCCGACACTGGCAATGGACCAGCCGCTGTCACCGTCACCACCCAGACGCTGTTCAAAGCTGATGAAGATGGGCAAACACCACAGGTCGTGGTGCTGGTGGGTGCCCCGGGGATGGGGAAGACGATGACAGTCAGGAAGGTGATGGTGGAGTGGGTGAAGGGGACCTTCTACGCACAGTTTGACTACGTCTTCTGCATCGACTGTAAAGACATTGCCTTTACCAAGGAAGTGAGCGTGGCAGACCTCATCTCAAAGTGCTGCCCTCACAGGCGAATGCCGGTTGGGAAGCTCCTGGATGACCAGAAGAAGATTCTCTTCATTTTTGACGGCTTTGAGGCCCTGGGATTTTCCTTGGTTCAGTCCAAGGATGAGCTGAGCTCTGACCCCAGGGAAGTGAAGCCGCTGGAAACCACCCTGATGAGCTTGTTGAAGAAGACTCTTCTCCCCGAGTCCTCCTTGCTCATCACCACAAGGCCGACGGCTCTTCAAAGCCTGGGGCAGTGCCTGGAGGGTGAGTATTACGCGGAAATAGTGGGATTTTCGTCAGGCATGAAGAAGGAGTATTTCCACAGGTATTTTGAGAATGACAATAAAGCCGATGTGGCCTTCAGGTTTGCCAGAGGCAACAAGATCCTCTACAGCTTGTGTGTCATCCCCATCATGAGTTGGACCATCTGCACCATCCTTGATCAAGAGCTTTCCAAGAAGAAAAACCTCTCCGAGTGCTCTAAAGCAACCACGCAGATGACCGTGTTCTACCTCTCCCGGTTAATGAAGAGCAGAGGCAGGGACAACCCGCAGGACCTCCAGCCATTCTTGCGCAAGCTCTGCTCCTTGGCTGCCAACGGCATCTGGAAGCACAAGGTCCTCTTTGAGGAGAAGGAAGTCAAGGACATTGGCTTGGACCAGCCGGAACTTCTCCCCCTCTTCCTAAATGAGAAGATCTCAAAGAAAGGCATAGACCATGGGAACATCTACAGCTTCACCCACCTGCACCTCCAGGAGTTTTTTGCGGCGATGTTTTACTTTCTGGAGGATGACGACGAAACAGTTGGTGACTCGGGGGCTCTTGCAAAGGATGTAAATATGTTGTTAGAAAGTTATAGCAAGTCCAGGAAGGATTTGAACTTAATGGTGCGGTTCCTGTTTGGTCTGGTAAACCAAAAATCAGTAGAGTACATGGACGAAAGCATCGGGTGCAGAATTTCCCCACGAGCCAAGGAAGACATGCTGCGGTGGCTTCAGGGGAGGCACAGAGACATCTCCCATCCTGGCCAAGCACTGAAGGTTACGGAGTTGGACACTTTCCACTTTTTGTTTGAGATGAATGAGGAAAGTGTGGCACAAAGTGCTTTGAGTCATTTCACCGACATAGAGTTGCAAGACTTCAAGTTGACCCTCTACGACCAAATGGCTCTTTCCTTCTGCATCAGGCAGTGGGCTGGGCTGGGCAGCGTCACCCTCCGGGGATGCTCCTTCAACCAGCAGGATCCCGGGAAGGAGCTGGCCACGGCAGTGCCTTGGTAAGTACCGCCCCTCTCTGCTCTAGCAACCCAAAACCACAAAGACTTCTCCTTCTCCACACCAATGCATGGTTTTTAAAGCATTTCAGCTCCTTCTGCCCAAAGAGCAGCTTCTCCTTTCCCGGGGCTCTGGGCTCCTCAGCTCAGCCTTTGGCTTTTCCTCGGGGGAATCGGGGGACAAGAAGGATCCCGCGGGCTCCTCCGTGTGCCACACGTGCTGGGATGGATGGAGACGGAGCGTCGCAGCTCCACTTCCCCCCGAACAGGGCCATCAGCGCCCGGGGGTTGCTTTGGCTTCG